GGATGAAAAAAAGCGGAGTGGAGCGCCTGTGCAAAAGGTCTGGCCTACGCGCAGAGGGCCAAAAAGATGGAGGTGCTGGCAGTGGTACAGGGTTATCTGACCGAGCGCGCCAGGATGAGTCAAGGTAAGGTTGCGTCCCAACTGTCTGCCGCTAGGTCTGAGCTAGAAGTAGTATGCCATAGGGTGATATCACTAGAGTTTGAGCTAGCAAGCGAGCAGAAGAGGACTAATGAGGTTTAGCAAGCCTATGCCACTGCCAATGAGAGGTTGGAGGAGGCCTTTGTGAATAAAAAGAAATTGCGTGATTCGGCCGTAAAAGATAAGGAGGATGCGAATGCACACATCACTGATTTGGAGAGAGGCACGTGATTCAACCGTAAAAGATAAGAAGGATGTGAATGCACACATCGTTGATTTGGAGAGAGGCTTAGAAGAAGAGAAGGCCAAGACATCAGAATTGGCCAGAAAGATGGAATCTGAGAAGGCTACTTATCTAGATTTGTGTACGGCGACAGTGGAGCAGTTTAAGTTATCCTCAGAATTCCAAATGGCTGTGGACGCAGCGGTGGTGAAAAGCTTAACCAGAGAGGGAGATAGTGGGGCTGGACTGTCGAACATTATTGCTAGGAGCTGATGGAGGGGGAAACCAAAGAAGAGATAATTCGATGGTTTCAGCAGTCGAATTATTACAAACATTAGATGAGCATGTATTGGTATACCGACTAGACAAGCTTTAAGTATAAAGCGAAGCAGCTCTTCCCAAGCATGGATTTCAGCAAGGTGGGGCCAGAAGAGAAAGACATTGCCCAAACCCCACTAGATGAGGGCGTTGAAGAAGAAGACTTGGTATCCAGTGAGGGTGAGAAAGGGAGAGCCTAGGTCTGAGAGTGGTTCTTGTTTAGTTATTATATTTTTGTTGCTATTTGTTTTTTTTTTTTTTTTTTTTTTTTTTTGTGGTTGTGTGTGTTTTTTTTTTTTTTTTTTTTTTTTTTTTTTTTTTTTTGGTGTAGAGATGTAATTTCTACAATGAGATGTGTGGTTTTGCAAGATGTTAATAAATAAAGATTGGAATATCTTTTGTTTTTTATTTTGGTGTTTGTATTGTGTGAGAATGATGAATGGTAAAATTGTATAAATAATTTAACTTGGGGTAAAAATGGCCTTGGATAGAAATGAACCTAGATTTAACTAAGTGTTGGAAATTTTGGCTGGCACGCTTGAATGGACATGTGGATAGGACCTAGCAATGTATGGTTTAACTTAGTCTAGCTGAGACCTTCGTGCTTAGTCTGGCTGAGGCTTTAGAGGACTCAGTTTGGCTAAGCTCTTCATACTCAGTCTAGCTGAGGATGCTCAATCTGGCTGAGGCTTTGGAGGGCTCGGTCTGGCCGAGGTTTTGTTTACTGTATAGGTTAAGGCACAACATAGATAATGGGAATCTTAAATTGTTGTCATTGTCCTACGATCATAAATACATACATGGCATGACAAGAGCCAAAATGGACAAGTGTTCCGATCACCAAAATGAAACATACTACAATTTAAATAAAAGAACTGCCGCTTTACTGGAAGTAACATTCAAGTGTTCAGCATTTCATGGATGGGGAAGCTCTCTGCCCCCCATGTCTTGGAGACGGTATGTGCCTGGGCGGGGTCTTGACGATATAAGGGCCTTCCCACTTAGCTGCTAGCTTGCCCTCATCTAGATTTTTGGTGGCTAGAGTGGTTTCACGTAAGACGAGGTCTCCTATTGCAAATGCCCTCGGTCGGACTCTATGGTTATAGTGCTTCCTGACTTTTTGTTAATATGAGGCCAGTCGAACAGCGGCCGTTTTTCGTAATTCCCCAATAAGGTCTAGGTCGGCTCTCCGAAGGTCTTCGTTTAGGTATGGATTGAGGTGGATGATTCTAGGCATTGGTAGGCCGACTTCTATAGGGATGACCGCTTCAGCACTGTATGTTAGGCGAAATGGGGTCTCCCTAGTTGGAGTTCGTGCGATCGTCCAATAGGCCTAGAGGCCGTTAGGCAACTCCTCTGCCCAGAGGCCCTTGGCGGCCTCCAGCTTGGTCTTGATGATTTTCAGCAGAGAGCGGTTGGTAACCTCTACTTGACCATTGGTTTGAGAATGGCCTGGGGAGGAAAAACAAGTCTTGATGTTGAGTTTCGTGCAGAATTCTCTGAATTTGGCATTGTCAAGTTGTTTGTCGTTGTTAGAGATGATGGCTTAGGGAATCACAAAACGACACACAATGGACTGCCAGATGAACTTAGTGGTATTTTGCTCAGTAATCTTGGCATGAGGTTCTGTTTCAACCCATTTGGTGAAGTAATTGATGGTACGACGACGAACTTTACTTGACCCTTGCCGGTCGGTAAGGGACCTATGAGATTGATTCCCCATTTAGCGAAGGGACAAGGGCTGCTGAGCGTGATCAACTCCATTAGAGGGGTGTGATGGGTGTTAGCGAAGCGCTGGCATTTATCGCATTTTGTCACAAAATTAGCGGGCGTCCTAATTGAGTGTGGGCCAAAAGCAACATGTTCGAAGAATTTTATGGGCCAGAGATTGTCCCCTAGAGTGATTTCCACAAACTCCCTCATGTATTTCTCTCATGACATAAGTTGTTTGGTCATTATTGAGACATATGAGATATGGTCGTGTGAATTCCCCTTTATACAAGGTGACGATGAATGTTCCCTGCTTGAGGAATGAGACGATATCCTAGGTCCATGGGATAGGCTCATCCTGGAGCAGGTGAATTGCTCGTTGATCTGGTGAAACTACTGGATGCGTCAGGTATTCGACCCAAACACCATGGCAGAGGTCTGATTGGTCTGATGAGGCCAACTGTGCCATTTTGTCTACTTGGGAGTTTTCTGACTTGGGGATATGTCAGATGCAAAAACTGTTAAAGAGGCAAGTCAGAGGAAGAGCAATGTCCCTTTATGATCACATGGCTTCTTCCTTGGCACCAAACTCGCCCGTTATCTATCCGACTACCAACTGAGAGTCGCTAAGCACTTGGAGATGATCGACTCCGATATCTTTGGCCAGTTAAAAACCTACTATGAGAGCTTCATATTCGGCTTAGTTGTTGCTTGCTGCAAATAGGAATTGGAGGGCACATTTGAAGTATTCTTCTTCGGGGGTGGTGAGGATTAGACCATCGCCACTACTCTCTTTGCGAGATGAACTGTCGATACAAAGAGTCCAAGAATGGGGATCCTCTTCCACGATAGTGCTGTGTGCTGGAGGAGTGGGTGCCGACGGGTTAAGATTTGTGAATTCCAGGATAAAGTCATCAATAGCTTGGCATTTGATGGTTGTTCGTGGTCAGTAAGAGATGTCGTATTGGCTTAGTTCAACAGACTATTGCATGAGCTGACCTAATGATTCTGGTTATTGCATGATCTTTTTCAAAGGCTGGTCAGTGAGAATCACAATGGAATGAGCTTGGAAATAGGGTCGGAGGCGCCTGGAGGCGATGACCAAAGTGAGAGCCATTTTTTCTAATAGAGGGTAGCTCTGCTCGGCTCCCCTGAGTACGCGGCTGATGTAGTAAACTGGGTGCTGCACTGAGTCGTTCTTCCTGATGAGGGCAACACTAACAGCGATGTTGGACACATCTAAGAAGATAAATAGGGTTTTTCTTGGCAATGCTTGAGAGAGAAGAGGGGGGTTGGCCATGCATTGTTTCAGTTGCTGGAAGGTCTCCTTAGACATAGTGTTCCATTCGAAGGTCTACCGAAGGATTTTGAAGAATGAAAGACATTTATCAGTCGCTTGCAAAATGAAGCGATTGAAGGGGCAACTCTACCTGTTACCCGCTGAACCTCCTTGACTGTTCGAGGAGATCACATTTTTATCAGGGCCTCGATCTTTTCTGGGTTGGCCTCAATGCCTTTTTGGCTAACCATGAACCCCAAAAACTTATCAGACCCAACGCCAAAAGAGCACTTTTCCGGATTCAACTTCATTTGATACTGCCGCAAGGTTTGGAAAGTCTCGCACAAGTCAGCCAAGTGGTCAGAGCAGAGTTTGCTCTTGACAAGCATGTCGTCGACGTAGACTTCCATGTTCCAACCTATCAGGTGTTGGAAAACGACATTAACCAGGCGTTGGTAAGTTGCCCCAACATTCTTCAAGCCGAACGGCATGACTCGGTATTAATAAGTCTCCCTGTCAGTGATGAAAAAGGTGTGCTCATGGTCTGCGTGCATAACAATCTGATTATAGCCGGAGAAAGCATCTATGAAGCTGAGCATCTGATGTCCCGCAGTTGCGTCGACTAACAGATCTATCTTGGGAAGGGGGTAGTTGTCTTTGGGGCAAGCTCGGTTAAGGTCGGAATAGTTGATACAGAGTTGCCATTTGCCATTGTTTTTGCAGACCAAGACCACGTTGGACAACCATCTGGGATAGTCCACATTTCTGATGAACTATGTCTGTAGCAGCTTGTTCACCTCAGCGGAAATGAGGTTGTTGCGTCCGGATGTAAAGTGCGCTGCTTTTGGATACTTGGTATGTCTGAATGGGTCCGAACAAAGACATCGTTGTGCTCGGCTATGAGAGTCGTGAGGTCGGCCTTGGCTTGAGAGGATAGCTGGCTACCAATCTTAGTCGTTTTCATTGGATCGGTGGGGTCGACAGGTACTTCAACAAGTTCTTCCACTAGTTTCCCTCTGATTAACTCTTCCTTATCTCTAACATCAAGGCCTTCAATGATCATAGCTTCTTTCATTTTGACTTCTTTCAATGAGGCGACATAGCACTCCCGGGCGATCGTCTGTTCACCCCTTACAATGCCGATCCCTTGGTCAGTGAGAAACTTCATGGCCAAATGGTATGTGAACGTTATGGCTTGAAGGGCATTAAACGCCCTAATATGATGTTGTAAGCAAAAGGACAGTCGACGACGAGGCAAGTAAGGAGTTTGGTGGACTACCGTAGACACTCGCTGATGTTGATGGGGAGATCGATAGAGCCCATGGATGTGACTCAATTGCCAGTGAATCCAACCAGAGGGGTTTGTAGAAGTGATAACTTCTCTTTTCCAATCTTTAGTTGGCGGTAGGCATTGAGAAAGATGATGTCTGAGGAGCTGTCGTTATCGATCAGGACTCGCCTGACTTCGTAGTTCGATAAGAGAGCAGAGATAATTAGGGGGTCATCATGGAGATAGCAAACACCTGTGCAATCTGTCGCCGTAAAGGTGACCGGCTCGGCCCATTGATTGGGTTGCTTGTAAGGTCGGTCCACCATGGCCACTGCTCTGTCAGATCCTCGTCGAATTTTTCGGAGCTCAGCTTGCTGTGCTGACCGTGATGATCCACCACATGCGAGGCCGCTAGCAATGGCCTGTATTTCACCTAGAAGGAGGGAAGCGTCACCGTGAGCTCAAGGTTAGTGTTGGGGCCAGTCATTATTCCGTTCGGGTTGTGCTGGTCATTGGGGGGGAGTGTGCTGACGGTTATGGTTTGGGGGGCCAGTTCTAGACCTCTAGATTGATCCCGTCGGCTGGAGGGGGATCTGGATGGTTAAGGCCATTTCAGGTTATAGTCTCGTTGAATTTGGTTCAGAACTTGCTCCATGGGTGAATTAAAAGGGGTGTACCGTTCGAACCGACCAGGTGGGCGGGTTGGTGTTGGCCGGTCCAAGCGTAGGCCGATCTGGGTGTGGTGGGGGTCGGTATGTGTATTGCGTGGGTCGGGGTTTAGGCTCTTTTGTTTTGTCCTTAGAGGTCGGGGCCTTAGATGTGGAGTCTTGGCGAGCTGCCAGAGAGTCTTCAGCGTTCATGTATTTTTGGGCTTTAGCGAGAAAGGAAGCCATGGTGGTTGGGGGATTTTTGAAGAGGGAGAATAGGAAATTGGATAGGCGTAGACCGACCATGAAGGCTGTGAGAATGACCTTGTCGTCGTTTTCCTCCACTTGTAAGGCTTCGGTGTTGAAACGGGTGACATAGTTGCATAACGATTCTCCTTCGGTTTGCCGAATGTTTAATAGTTGGGTGGCTAGATGTCACTGTCGCTGAGCACCAATAAAATGGCTTAAGAAGGATTCGCTGAGCTGGCGAAATGAAGTGACTGAGTTTGGGAGAAGTTGACTGAACCAAAGGCAAGCCGACCTCTTCAACATGACAGGGAAAGTGCGGCACATGATTTCATATGGAAAGGCATGTAAGATCATGAGCGTCTGATATGCTTCTACATGGTCGACGGGGTCGGTGGTACCATCGAAGGTGTCAATCGATGGCATTTTAAACTTGGGAGAGAGAGCTTTTATCCCGGATGGATGCGGTAAAAGGAGAGTTGACGGTGGGGAAAGTCTTGCGCTATATGTTCTGCATGACCCCTTATAACTGGAGCTTCATGGCCCGCAGTTCTTCATTCCAGACGGGAGCATTATCCCCACAAACAAGGATCGGGGGCTGGACACTGTTAGCCTTACCTCAGACGGGAGCATTATCCCCACAAACAAGGATCGGGGGCTGGACACTGTTAGCCTTACCTTCATGGGTGACTACATGGTGTGGTAAGGGGGGGTTACGGAAAGGTAGTGGTATATCTAGACGAGGTTACGATCCTAACAGGGAAGGGTGCAGACTGACGAGATTCGATGATTGGAGCTGCGGGGCGAATGATGGAAATGTTTCTTGAGGGACGTGTGGTGGGAATTGATGGTGATGGTGGGCTTGTTTCTGGTGCGAGGGAATTGTTGGTTATGGTGGAGGTGAGATAGGCAGATCACGTTGGAGTAAGGCATTGATCAGGGTTTGGTTCTGTTCGGTCAGTCGGTTAATACTGTTGGTGAGTTCTACGAAATATGGAAGCGGGTTATTAGGGTTGAAGGACTCAACTTCGGGATTATCAGTGTTATGTTGGGAAGCCATGGATCTAGTTGTGACTATCTACGCTGATACAGGGGGTGAGTGATTATGAGGTTCCTTCCGGCGACAGTGAACACAACTGCCTTTCCGAAATAGTCTTCCAACAAACAGCGCCAACTGATAATGTCATAATTCCAACGTGAGATGAGCCAAGCAGATCCATACTTCCAACGGCCTTGCTGGCCTTAACGTCTACAGAACGTTCCTGCAAAAAGGTCCAAAGGGGGTGGTCAATCCCCCGGCAAACCCTCCGACGATCTAATTAGAATGGGATAGGTTGATTGTGTAGAGAGGGAAAATGGGGACCAAGAAAACTGACCTGTAATGCGTTTTGGAAACTTCCTTATATCCTTTGCTCATCATTTCCTTGTCTACTCCAGACTGTCGTGTTGGCTGAAAGTCTATGTTCTAGCTTGCATCGTTCGTGGTGAGTCTGTATATTCTGACGTGAAGGGGTTGTCGTATTTAATGCTATGAGAGCCTCATTAATGGTAGATATATGGGTGCAATAACTTTGCAAGATCTTTGTCTGCTTATGTGGCTAGACCTCTACTTGACGGGTGTTTTAACGCTATTGGTCCTGGTCCATCATTGATTTCTCAAGATTACTGGGCCTTGATATCTAGTTCGTGGGCTGGGTTTTAAGTCATGGGCCAGACCCTTTTGTGGGCCTACCGATATCAATTATTATTTTGTAAACGATTTTGATGGTATGTTCGAAATTTGACAAATTTAAATCAAATTGAAAAGTTTAAGAATGAAATTGGCAAAATTAAAACTTAAATACTCAAAATAAGACAAAACACATACCTTAAAAATCATGTGTATTTTATCATTTTTTTTTTTTGATATGTTGGATATTAGATACAATTTCAAAATAACACAACTAAAATGTAACTTATTCTAATAGTTGAACTTAATTCTCATTAAGTCCTATCGATTTGTCACTGAAAGTTGGTCCTAGCAAAAATGTCATTAAAAATACTTTTTGTGACAATTTTTTAAATATGTTGCTAAAAATTGCAATTCGTAACGTTTTTTGGTGACGGTTTTTTCAAACTATTGCTAACACTTGCAATTAGTGACTTTTTTTGTGACGAATTTTTTAAATTATCGCTAAAAACTGACAACTAGTGACACGTGTAATAAAAAATGCCACTAATTATTGTAGAACCTGTTAGATAATAAATTTACCTATTGAGACCTACACGTAAGTCCCCTAACAAAAACCACCTCATCAAATTTGGCCACATTCTCTATTCCCCATCAAACTTTGTTGGCATATAAACTTCTCTCTCCCTCAACTAAACTTCCTATATAAAAAATATATCTAGGATAAATTATACTAACCTAACTTAAAGTTTGAAAAAATATAATAAGTCTGACAATATAGATTTTTCTTATTTAAAAGGTTGAAGGGATTGAATTTAATACAAATAGTTTGAAGACACAAAGATAAATGAAGTAAAATATACATTTCAGTATAAAAGAAATGACAACATTATTCATATGACTAATGAAGTTTTGATAAAAATTGCACCAAGTATTATATGAATTAAATTCTTAAGTGAGTCCAATATAATAATGCCAAAGTTATGGAGCTTATTATATTTTCTTTCAAATCTCATATGAACTTAGTATAATTTACCCAAATATATATGGAAAATGTTTGAAATTAAACCCCTAAAAAATTTACCATAATCACGTGGCATAATAGATGTCAACATTTGAGTTGTTACACACTATCATATTAAATGAAACTTTCTTGACACATCATTATAGGTGAATTTGTGAATTTAAAATTACAAGTCTAATATTTCTCAATATATATATTCCATTAAATTTAGAGAATAAAAGTGCCTCAAGGCATGCATTTTTATGTGATCTTATAAAGAAAGTACAACAAATTTGTAGTCTAGAATGTTATAACATCACCCCCTTTTAATTGTACTTGCTATTGATTTCTTTTGTTGAGACAACTGTATTTTGTCTCATTTCAAACAGTACAATACTTAGTAACTCAGAAGTAGAGGTGTCAATTTGGCCCGAGCTGAGGGTCACGCGGACTCCTACTAAAATTTGGAACAGGATGGGACGGTTTACAAACCAAAAAATTACGCCTAGCCCTAAGGGCTATTTGAGCCTTGGGTGTGCCAGAGGACCAGGTCGGCGGGCTTAGACTTGGCCTCGGTCTTGGGTCAGGCCTAGACGGGCCAAATTAATATTTTTATATTTTTTTCACAAATAATGACACTGAGTCTCAAGTGGGTCGGGTCTCGGATAGAGCTTTAGTTGGACCTTAAACGAACCGATGAGTCGCGCCACAGGTCGGTCCAAGCAGAGCGGGCTTCAAAATAACAACTTGGGCCTAAGCTTAGGGTCCCAAACTAAGTTCAAACTTTGATCTAATTGGGTTGAGCCCACCCGAAACGTTCATAAGCCACAGACCATTTTTACATCCCTGCTCAGGTAACAAGCTATCTTTCCTGCCTTCTCATCCTTTAATGTTATAACATCACCTCCTTTTAATTGTTTAATTGTACTTGCTGTTGATTTCTTGTATGAGACAACTGCATTATGTCTCATTTTAAACAGTACAATACTTTGATGCAAACAACAGTAACTCAGAGGGTAACAAGCTATCTTTCACATGTCCACTTAAAAATCCCACAAAAGATAGCCACAAACTTCATTCCAGGAACAAAATATATATATATATATATGGTACAGGCTACAAGGTACAGCTTCCACTGCATGCCACACATGTTCCAAGGAAAACTTCCACGTTTTTTTCAACCCCCATTTCTGATATACATAAATGTTTTACAAATATATATATATATATATATATTTTAGGGGCTTTTTTTTAAGGTCCCTGGTATTATGATTTTATAACATAAAGGACACTAAATATTTTTATAATGTCTAAGGTCCCTCAACCTTGATCCAGAGAAATTTCAGTCCAGAGAAAATTGGTCCAGAGAAATTCTGGCCCAGAGAAAATTTCTCTGGACCAAAATTCTCTGAAAAGTCTACAGTAATTCTGAATTTCTCAAAATTTCTCTGGCCCAATTCTTCTTACAATTTCTCAGCATTTCTCTAATGCATTGGCTGAGTCCAGAGAAATTTTGAATTTCTCTAGTCCAATTCTCTTCAAATTTCTCTGATTTGCAAATTTCTTTAGTTTTCTCCTAGAGAAATTTCTAGAATTTCTCTGGACTCCAAACCAGAGAAAAACAATGCACACACAAACACATTAAATAGAGAAAGAGAGAGAGAGGGGTTAAACAAATGTTGATACCTAGAGAACAAATAGAAGAGACCCAACTAACCTGGAGACATGAAAGCAAATAGCACTCAGGAAAACAAATGGTCTTACTTTATTTATGATTTGGTTGAGGAGACGATAGTGTAGTAAGTTTGGAGAAAAGCCAAGACAAGGAGACAAGTTGCAGAAGCGAAAATTCAGTTTAAAAACCAAAGAATTTCTCTGATTCTCTAGTTTCAACCCAGAGAAAATTTAGTTTAAATATCAGAGAATTTCTCTGGTAGACCCAAATCTTCATTACAATGACTGTTATCAAACTTTTCATCATTTTGTTTACAAAACATGAAAATGAAAACAATACCCAAAAAATAATTTGAATGCCACTGTAAACAAAATTCCTAGAGTCACCACTACTGATTGGAGTTCATAATACATTAATTAAAAATAAAAGTTGTAAATCAAAATCAACTAAAATCACAATTCAAAAATCCAAGAATAAGGAGTTAACTTGATTGACTGCTGGAACCATTTTTGCAAACTTAAGCAATTCTTTGATCTACTCTATATTAAAATGGCTAACGCCAATGCCTCGAACTAGACCCAACTCCACCAGACCTTCCATTGCTTTCCATGTAGTCTTGAACCGATTCAGAAACTGCCTATACTCACTCCCTGACTTAGTAGGAGGATCAGTAGCATCTCCAAATGCCGAGCTCTCAGGCCAATGCATCCAATAGAGATCCAAGTATGACACTCCAAGATTCTTAAGAGATACTCTAACAGAGTTCTCTATCTTATTGAGTGAATTCATAGTATCATAATTTCTCTGACTTACTGAGGATCGCGCTTGAGTTCTTGTTTGTAGCCGAGCTGGTCAAGGCGAGCATGGCCTGAATCAAGTGTTGTGTCACCGTTTTGAATCTGCGATGGGAGTGCCATGTTTTCTTCACCACGACCCCAAACCATCTCTCTCTCTCTATATATATATATATATCTACAACCTCATTGGAGCTCTGTTGAATCTTCTAATCTGCAGAGAGGCTGACTTTTATTTGGTGTGTGAAATGGAATCTGATTTGATTAATCTCCATCTATCAGCTTCACTGTGCCACAATTCCGATCAGAGACAATGCTTCTCCCCTTCTTCTTGGGGGCTCTCTGCTGCTGCTGCGGCTGTGAGATCATGCTCTGATGCTACTGATCACCTCGCACCTCCTTCGACTCCATCTTCGTTGGTGTTAAACCCTAACTTCCATTGATGAGTAACAGAATAGATAAAATACGATGAAGAGGAGAGAAAAAGAGCACGATATTGTAGAGCCGCCCACATCAGATCACACCCACAATATATATATAGATCATATAGCTCAATCGGCTGGAGAATAAAGTAGGGGTGAGGAACAAGAGTTGATTTGGACGGGTCTGAGAATGGAGAAGTTTAGAGAGAGAGAGACATGAGTTTTGATTTGGTAAGGTCAAATTTCTCTGTGATATGTTCAAGGATCTTAGACATCAAAAAATAATTTTGTGGATCTCTTCCATTACGAAAAGTGGGAGAGGGACCCTTGACTAATTTTTCCTATATTTTATATAGTAAGTGATCTCATTTTTTTTCCCTTTTAAGATAAAACACGCACCATTAAATTAAATAATTTTTAAATAAATTTCACTTTACCCCTTTTAGTTTGATTTATGTGTAGATTATCTCCTCTTATTTAAAAATAACTATATAATATCACTATGATTTGTGAAGTGAAATGCTTTGTTACGTCAGTTAATGATTTAATACAAAAAAAAAATTAACATATATCTTTCTATATTAGTAATCTAAGTGTACGAATTACAAATATTTTTATAATTTGTTTAGGAGACAAAATACACTTTAACCATTTTATTTCCTTAAAATTTAAAAATGAACATATAACTCCCTTATATATGATATGTGTTTCATACTTACTATTAAATTAGACGCAATATTTAACAGTGCACTTCAACGAAATATTTAATAGTGTACTTCAACGGAATATTTAATAATGCACTTTAACTTATAATTCACATGTGGTTATATGATTATTTTCAAATGATTGGACAAGAATCCATGAGCCAAAGTAAAAGTAATTAACGTAAAATTTGGCCATATCAATCTTTAAAAATAAAAATAATAAATAAATAAATAAAATAAAATTTGGCCATAATTTTAAAATTATTAACGCTACATTATTTATGAATAAAAAAATTAATATAAAAACTATATTTGCTACTGTGCGAGTCCTGACTTAAGCGGAGCTTGCCTTGGGAGGTCGGGACAAGCTTCCAAGTTATAGTCTCTTACTCGGAACGGACAACAGGACACCCTGGTGATCTCCTCAAGGGGCGCTGCCTTGGACTTGCGGGAGAGTGGGAGAATTTTCCTGTAACAAAAAAAAAAATTGTAAGATCTGCACCTTTCATTTTTTTTCCTCGGTAATTTATGTAGCTGATTCTAATTTGATCGAAGTTTTTATTTTTGTCATTGTAACGTTAATTTCATTAATTTAAATTTTACACTTTTAATTTTATTTAAATATAATTTCTTTATTAATTGTAATTATCATTTTGAATAAAAAAATATATTACTGACAACTCTAGTGAAAATTTTAGTAATTCTAGTAAAAAAACAAAAATAAATAAATTTTATTGATGGTTCTTAATTTTTTTTTTTTAATTCTAGTTTTGTCTTTCTTATTTCGCAGGTATTGTTTATTAGTTCAAAATGCTAAATAATATAGTGAAATGAAATTAAAATTGTAAGAATTAAAATAAAATTTTAAACAAACTAAAAAGAATTAATAATATAATTTATCCTTCTATTTTTGTGACAGGCTGTTTATGCGGGACAAATTTTGAAGTACATGTAATTTTCATCTTACCCATGCCACACAATTGTGTGGGCACAAGTTCTTTGGAATTTCTGCACACAGTCTTCTGTCCTTGTTATGTTAGCTAACGACAATTGAAAAGTGGAAAAGAGTTAAAAGTTATTAACTAACTGTTGAAATTCTTGGTAAAAGAAAACGTATATATATTCACTACTTTTGAAATTAAAAAATATATATATATATATAGTATTTAATTTCACATTTTTAATATAGCTATATTAATTTTTTTTTTTTAAGTATAGTTAAAACGAATGTCAATAGTAGATAGACATTAAAATACGCGAAGATAAATATATATGTATTAGTATAAAAGATATAGTAATATCATTTTTTTTATTCATACGACTAGTGATTTACTCATGAAAAGTGACTCAAGTGTCATGTGAATTAAAACTAGGATGATGGTCACTGCAATTATGTCAAAATTGTGGAGCTAATTGTATTTTTTTTTTAAACTTCATTGCAAGTGAATGTAATTTATCCAATGACCTCCCCTAAGGTATGAAGACAATACAAGTAGCCTCACAGTTTTGGCATAATTATATGGCATCACTTCTAATTAGGGATGTTCAAATTACCCAGTGAATCAACGAACCAAACTGACCTTTTTGGGTTAGGTTGGGTTGGGTTGATTTTTTAGTGCATTGTTTGGTTTTAGGTCTTTCTATCATCAAACTGATAGGATTATGTTAGTTCTTGGTTTAGGCTTTGCCTAAATCGAATCAATCCGAGAACTGAACATATTTATATGTATTTTTAAAATTTTATTTAGATTGGCATGACTTTACATAATTGATCTAGAACAATGAACTTGATTATACCTAATAATTTTTCACATATAAGAATTATCAGGTGAATGAAGGAAATACTAGAAGCTTGAATTGGATTTCGCAGTTGATTTAATTTGTATCGGTTGTATTAATAGATTTAATTTATATCTGTTATGTTTAAGCTTGAGTTAAATTTAATTTGTCTTGACTTGTATTAACAATATTTTACTTTTTGTTTGTCATGTTTAAATGTTAAAGGCTTGCTGTAGGTATTCGGGAGTTACCTGAGCTCATCCGACAGTTCAGATTCTCGATCTCTTGATCTGTATTCATTAGTGTAATGTGAAACAAAAAATAAGAGTCTAGATCTGGTAACTTTATAGAAACAAAAATCTATTTATTGCGAAATATGTCAAAAATGGACTACATCACCATATTTCAAAATCACCACCTAATCTTTTAGGAAAACTAGAAAACCTGTGACTCGTGCCAAAAGCCACTGTCCATATAACCAGAAATGTCTTGATTCAGGACCTTAGATATGAAAAAGGAAGGACATGAATTAAGAACCCCACTTACCCAATCAAATGATCAACCTCTACTAACCATAATATGAGTTTTATAAACAATATATTCTTATATTCAGATTATTATTAATACTAAGATTACTATGTGAGGCGAACAAGTGTAGACCATGTCACTTATTTTGGTATACTTTGATTTCATACATTTTGAAAGATCTTTTGAAATATGTACAACTCAAGAGAAATTGAGCTCACATGCGTAGCAATTAGTATCATTCCAACCTTAACCAACACAACCTTCATCCACTGGCAGTCATGGAGATATTCTAGATAAGCAAGTTGCTACATGGTATATTTCCAAACATACTAAGAATAACATACACAACCAAGATGTTAAAACTAGAAATGCTCACCTAGTACTCATCCCTGCTAAGCCAAAAAAGAATATATTCAAAACATATGCATGATCCTATATGAAAATAGCTAATGCAACACATATAAAAGATGCAACTAAAGATCTGACTACTAATATCTGACATGTGAATCATCGCAAGGCATGAGGTAGTACACATAATCATATTTCAAATAATAAATCTCACAGATGCAGATGAGCCGAATTCGAATGCATGAAACATGTATGCAAGGCATGGATATGACAAAAAGAAAACATGATGCTATGAAGTATAGAAAATATGAAATAAAAGAGGCGGAGAGAGAGAGAGAGAGAGAGAGAGATCATGATTGGAAAACATACACAACAAAGGGATAGAAAGAAATAGAGGTTGGAAGTTATTGCAACAGGCCTTTACAATAAAAGGAATAAAAGATGTGGGGTTGGAAGTTGATACATCAATGAATGAATAGAAAGCCATGGGGTTGGAAGCTATGTACAACAATGAATTGGCTCAGCCAACTATAGGCTGAATCTAATAAATCATGATGTTAATCTAAGATAATTAAAAAGAGATGGTGGAAGTCAGAGGTCCAGGAGATCATCCTTAAAAAAATGCCCTATTATGCTCTGTTTTGTCGGGAAAAAGTCATCTAGTTGTATGAATAAACTATCTGGCTAGATGAAAACATAGTCGGCCAGACTATTTATTCATCTGGTCATACAAGAAAAAAAGGGAACAACCCTGTTTTATGCAGTAAGTCCAAAACAAAGGCAAACAGAACATTTCTAGAGGATGTTCATCCTTGCTACTCCTTGCTATCACAAAGGATGTTCCACGTAAGAGGTGGATAAGCTTCACCCATCTTCTCATAACACGAGAAGTTATATGATATTTACAACAACTATGACATGGAATGATTAACAAGTATAGAAATTGAGGTTGGAAGAAAAGTCAAGCCAAATAAATAGATGGAAATATACATTTATCTCTTTGTGGATAAGAGTAAATGAATACCCATATCTATGTTATTAATTGGAGAGAGTAGATTGCCACCATTTCTAAGTAGAAGCATTGCTTGGAAAATAAGAGATTCATCAAAGGTAATTGGAAACTCCTCTTCCTACTCATGGAATAAGGATGTTCCATCCCTTTCCATGCTAAAAAATGGATTGAGAAGGGAGTTTTCAACACTTTTGGACCAAGG